GCCGTGTGGACCCTGCCACCATACTCTAAAAGTTCTGCAGTGCACTTTGATCTATTGGGATTGTAATGCCAACAGACCCGGGGCCTCTGGAGTTTAGTGCATGAGCCTCTACTGCATGAGCTAAAAGCCATTTGGTTGTTAGCTAAGGCTGTAGAGCAGATTCATTATCCTCTTTCTCCAAGGGCTTGTCTATACTTACGCGCTGGTTCGGCGGCAGGCAATCGAACTTCTGGGTTCAATTTATCGCGTCTTGTCTGGACGCGATAAATCGAACTCAGAGTGCTCCCCGTCGACTCCGGTAATCCTGCTCGCCGCGAGGAGTACGCGGAGTCGACGGGGGAGCCTGCCTGCCGCGTCTGGACCGCGGTAAGTTCGAACTAAGGTACGTCGACTTCAGCTACGTTATTCACGTAGCTGAAGTTGCGTACCTTAGTTCGATTTGGGGGTTTAGTGTAGACCAAGCCTAAGTGGTCTCTGTGCCACTAGATGGGACAGAACACAACACCCAGGAGGTGTGTGGGTTACAGTATTTCAAACAGCAGTAGACCAAACTACACTAGGAAATGTTTAGTGTGCAGTCTCAGGGTCCACCTGGCTAGTTAGTGTGCAATAAGCCTGTGTGCTATATATTCACACCTCAACTTGCCTTACATTAGCTTGCTGTATAGACAAGCTCTGAATGCAGGTATGAGGTTCTTGAACTCAGCATAGTAAGGAAAGGGTTCAGTGGTGCAGCTGTATTGTTGATGTCAAGAGAGCAAATATTAAGGCATTAGGAAATCTTCTGAGGAATGTAAAGTGACAGAAAGTATTAAAATCCAAGAGTGCAGAATAAGGCAAAGGAATCCTAAAAGATCCTATATATAAGGGCCAACGGGGTATGCAAGAACTACTGGGTCAGGCTCTATGGCATGTGTTATGCAGGAGGTCAGACTAAATTGTTATAATGGTCCCATCTGGCCTCAAAATCTATGAATCTATGAACAGACTCCAGTTCCTCTTAAAAAACAAAAATCCATGAAATAAGAATTTGCCAGAGTGGCTGCACAAAGAGGCGTTTAAAGACCTGAGATTTTAAAAAGTAGAAAAGTGGAGAGGTAAGCAAACAAGAATCCAGTGATAGCAGTCTTGCAGGGAAAACATTAAGGACAGGGGGAAAAAAAGGGGCGGGGGAGAGGGGTAAATGAATTCATGATAGCCAAGGGCACCAAGGAGAATTAGAAGAGCTTTTTATTTATATAGGGGAAGAGGCAAAAGTAGTACTAATGAAAATGCAGGTCTATTAATAAATGAAATGAGAATAAATTAATTATTCAGAAATGGCTGCAAGACAGAACTTTTTAATTGTCTTCAGTGAGAAAAAAATACAAGAGAAAGTGGAACAATTAGTCTGAATATTCTAACAATGAGGTTGATGAACCACTGGAACAAACTACCATCTCTGGAGGTCTTCAAATCAAGACTGGGTGGCTTTCTGGAAAACATGTTTTAGTCAAATACAAGTTATTGGGCTCAGCACAGGGTACCTGAGTGAAATTCTCTGGACTCTGTTATACAGAAGTCTAGATGATTTAACAGTCCCTTCTGGCCTTACAGTCTATGAATCTTGGGCTTTGCCTTGGAAGCACAACCCTGTTTTGGAGGTGATGGAAAGTCACTTCCATCCCAGCAGAAACTCTGGAAAGGTAATAGACTCCTGAGCAGTAAACAGGTTGGGTTTATAAAGAATACATCCTAACAGCTTAGTTTGTTTGGGGGTGGGAGGGGTGTGTGTGTGTGTGTGTGTGTGTGTTACAAAATTAGTGAATAAATGAAATATAGTAAATATAGGCTGAGATTTTTCATAGGTGCCTAAGGGATTTGGATACCTAATTCCCACTAAAATTGGTCACCCAAATCTCATACAAAGACTGTTCTGAAAATCTCAAACTGTAGTATACGTGGATTTTGATTAAGCATTTGATTACATAAGAACTTAGTAATGGCCATACTGGGTCAGACCAATGGTCCATCTAGTTTACTATACTGTTTTATGACAGTGGCCAGTGTCAGATGCTTGTGAGAAAATGAACAGAACAGAGAAAATAACAAGTGATCCATCCCCTGTCGTCCACTCCCAGCTTCTGGCAGTCAGAGGTTGAGGGACACCCAGAGCATGGGGTTGCATCCCGCTGGTTCTTGTGTTATATGAAGGGGTAAATAACACTTCTTTGTTCACTTTCTCCACACCATTCATGGTTCTATAGACCTCTATCATATCCCCCATTAAATGTCTCTTTTTTAAAATGAATAGTCCCAGACTTATTAATCTCTCCTCTTATGGAAGCTGTTCCATAACCCTCATAATTTTTGTTGCCCTTTTCTGAAACTTTTCCAATTCTAATATATTTTGTTTGAGCTGGGGAGACCAGAGCGGCACACAGTATTCAAGATGTGGGTGTACTATGGATTTATATAGTGGAATTTTGATATTTTATACCTTATTATCTATCCCTTTCATAATGGTTCCTAACATTGTTAGCTTTTTTGACTGCTGCTGTACACTGAATGGATGTGTTCAGAGAACTAGCCACAATGTCTCCAAGATCTCTTTCTTGAGTGGTAACAGCTAGTTTAGACCCCACCATTTTGTAGGTATTCTTGGGATTATATTTTCCAGTGTGTGCATTACTTTGCTCTGATCAACACTGAATTTCAATTGCCATTTTGTTGCCCAGTCACCCAGTTTCGTGAGATCCCTTTGTAACTCTTTGCAGTCAGCTTTGGACTTAACTATCTTGTGTAATTTTGTATCATCTGCCAATTTTGCCGCTTCTGGCTAAAATTTTCATAAGCGCCCTAAGTGTTTTAGGAGTCTAAACAATTTTTATTGATTTTCAATGAATTGTGCTGATTTATACCGTCTGAGTATCTGGTCCTTAATTTCTGTAAAATGGGGTAATAATACTTCTCTATCTCACAAGGCGGTTATGAGGATAAATTCATTAATGTTTGTGAGATGCTAAATATTATGGTCATTGGTGCCATAGAAAACCCTGTAAACAGTGTATAAGTATCAAAGTGTGCAAAGATTAAAGCTTGAGAAAAATTATTGAACATGATGTACAGACTTATAACTAGGAGTGATAGGCTGATATTAAGAAAGGAAAAATAGAGGTGGAATCTCACACAAACCTCGTGACAGTAAAATCTATCCATCAACCAGCAGAATAGGCCAAAGTGCCTTCAGCAAATATGTTATGCTGTCACTGGACCATGAACTGCCTTCTAATGAAGTGGCTGTTTCATTATGAGAACCTGAGTGCATGTCGTCTTTCTGCAGCCAACATGACAAAGAACTCAGACACTTACAGCTGTCTATAATCTGAAGTGTGACATTCCTCTCAGAGAGGTGGAAAAGTCATGTTTATTTTATTTTGAAAGCTAATTAGAGATGTTGCTATGGAGTTTTAAAATAGATTATATTAAGTCTAATTAAATAGGCCCCTAATATTTCTTTTAAAATTTTAAAACATTCAATAATTATATTAATATAATCACATAAAAGATTAAAAAGCCACAAAAGCCATAACTGTTGGTGTTATTGTTGAACAGTTAAGGCTTGAGGTAAGCTCTCACAGGACCAAATTTTGATCCCCTAAATAAGTGAATACTGAGAAAAATTCCCACTGAAATAACTCAAATTCCCATTTCTTTCTGATCTCAAATAGTTAGTGGTTGGCTAATGTCCTGAAACATGAGAGTTTGTATCTGTTATAAGTGTTTATCCTATCTGGGAACATTTGGTCAGGCTAACTTCCGCTGAACTCAATGATTATTATTCAGTTTTTATTCAGTACTTTCTCGGGCAAACTCTCACTGACTTAAATGAAAGTTAGCCTGAATAAATGTTCATAGATTGGATAAACATTTAAAATCTACCCAGATAGGATACAAAATAAGGGACATATAAACCACAAACTACATGGGATTAGGAAGAATCTTTCCCTGTGCGAAGGTAGTCCATAAATGTCCACTATAAGGTTTCTCTGAAGCATCTAGTACTATCTACTGCAGCAGGCAGGATACGTTGGGCTAGATGGGCTGATCCAGTATGGCAGTTTCTGGGATTTGGCTCCAGGATGTTAGTTTTATGGTATTTTTTTTATTTATCTACTTACATTACTTAATTCCTCTAAAATGTAGAGTCCTGTTTTGTTTTCTTCATAGTTTTACTTAGACTGCAAGCTTTTTGGGGCAGGGGCTGTCTTTTTGTTCTAGATTTGTACAGCGCCTAGCACAATGGGGTAGTGGTCCATGACTGGGATTCTTAGACACTACCACAACACTCCACTAATAATAATTTTTAAACAGGAATGATAGTCAAGGTGAAGGCGTACTAATATCTAAGGGCAAATTTAGAAAAGTAGAAGCCTCTGTGAGCTCAAAGGACAAGCATGCACAAGCTCCTGTTTACGCACATCTGTGGCCCTGATTCAGAGAAGCGCTGAAACATGTGCTTAAAGTTAAGGATGTGCTGAAGTCCCATTGACTTCAACAGACTTTAAGGATAAGCATAAAGTTAATCATGTGGGTATGTGCTATCATGAAAAGGGATGCTTTCCTGAACTGGGGCCTGTATAGGCAGTTGCCACAATTATGCATGTAAGTTTAAGTAACTGCAAGTACAAATGGATAGCTGGACACCTTACTGCCCTTTTGCACACGCAATTAATAATACTTCACTCTTATTTAGCATTTTTTATATCTGTAGCTCTCAATCAGCTTTACAAAGGAGGTCAGTATTATTACCCCCACTTTACAGAAATAAAATTGCTTTCAATTACAGGTACACCTGTATGCATGTTTTCCAGGTGAACCTGTGCCTCTCTTCTTTAAACCTTTGGCCCTCAAAGTTTCAAAGCTAAGTCTAAACGGTCTATTGGGGTTGTTTCATGGTTTAAAAATCTCCAGTCCTACCCTCTGGTCTCATAGCTTTATGCATTCAAGCAAAGACATACCTGAGAGTGAAAAACTGATCAGTCTCCGACTTCCTTGACCCTGGACCGGATCTTCACTGGTGATGCTTTTAAAAATCTGCTGGAAGAAGGAAAATGGTGAGATAGCTGTCTCCAATGATTCTTGAACAGAAAACTGACTTAATAACTGTTATTCCTGCTGTCGTCATCAACTGAGAATCAATTACATGCCTTCGTTAGGAAACTATCGGTCAAAAAATTTTACCAGTAAAGTACGAAACCAGCCACCAGGGAGCTCCTTTTCATGGAAATGAAAAACTATGGAAAAAATTACTGTAATCTTATATGTGTTTTGTGTTAATAGAAAGAGTACTTCCTCAGTGGAATATCTGTAAACAGTAATTGCTTATTAAACAAAAAATGAATGCAGCTCATAAGGATGGTTATGTTGCCCCTCACTTTAATAGCAAATTCTGAGCTCAACAAAATGAAATGTAAATCTCTGTAGTTCAGTTATTCTAGTGACTCTGCAGCTGACTGCCAGGAACCTGTATTTACATTTACATAAAACATGATTATTAATCCCATGAAAAAAGTAGCAATTATGAAATATTGCGGTGACAAATGTACAGGGGAAGTCTGAAGAAGCAAGAGCTACAGTATATGATCATTTGAGCTTGTTTAATAGACAGAATCTTTAAAAAGTGGACCCTGTTGGGCTTGACTTTTGGCCAGGATCAGCATGTTTCTTGCACACCGCTGATTTGAATGTGGGAATAACTCTCTCCTTCTCAACCCCATCTATACATTTTAGACAATAGTGGGTTTTTCTTCACGAACCTGAACTGTTCCTGTTTTAATTTTAAAAGATTGTATTTGCTTGAAGTGCGTCAGTGGCAAGTGAGAAGGGAATTGCTCTGTTGCTGACTTTATGCTCAGGGCACAACAGAGTAGTTTGCCAGCTGGTGCTAAAAACTGGGACATTGTCACAGCAAAGAAAATAAATCCTTTACCATCTCTTTCTGGATCAAGCTATGGAAAGCACAGGAGGAAGATATTCTCATGGGGAATCAATCTGCTGACTGGAGGTCTTTAAATATGAGCTGAAAAAACTGGGGAAAAAAGTGGGCCCACTGACAAACAAGTAGAGCAGATAGTGGAGTTGAGCTGCTAGCAGGATGGCCCACTGGAAGTGGAGCTGCTAGCAGGTTGGGCCACCAGGCCACTTCTCCTTTGATCTTCAGAATGGTATCTACTCCCCCTTAAATGGCTTCAGCCCTCAGAATGGTATTCAACGCAGTGGCAGGAGCATGTTCCACACACCATCTAGCTCCTTCACCTTCCTCCAGAGACATACCGGGAATCGGAGAGAAGTGAGTCATAGATTTTAAGGCTAGAAGGGACCATTATAATAATCTAGTCTAATCTCTTGAACAACACTGGCCTTAGAATCGAGGGAGGTGGTGGAGTCTCCTTTCTTGGAGGTTTTTAAGGCCCAGCTTGACAAAGCCCTGGCTGGGATGGTTTAGTTGGGAATTGGTCCTGCTTTGAGCAGGGGGTTGGACTAGATGACCTCTTGAGGTCCCTTCCAACCCTGATATTCTATGATTCTATGATTCTAACCGTACTCAGTAATTTCTGCATGTAGCCCATAACTTCTATTTGAACTCTAGCATATCTTTTAGAAAGACATCCAGACTTGATTTAGACATCTCAAGTGGTGAAGAATCCATCACATCCCTAGGTAAGGTGTTCCATTGCTTAGTTACACTCACTGTTAAAAGTTTGCATCTTATTTCTAGTTTGAATTTGTCTAGCTGCAGCTTCCAAACCCAGGCTTTTATTATGCCATTTTCTACTAGATTAAAGAACTGACTATCAGAAATATCTTCCCCATGAAAATACTTGCTGACCATATTTTTAACCTTCTCTTGGATAAATGGAAACTTTTAACTCTCTCACTATCACGCATGTTTTCCAAACCACATCTTTCTTGTAGCCCTTTTCTGAATGCTTTCCAATTTTTCAACATCCTTCCTGATGTATCAATACTAGAACTGGACACATTATTCCAGTAAATGGTCTCGCTAATGCTGTGATACCCCACCCTACTTCTACTTGATGATCCCACCACATTGCATTGGGAGCTCATGTTTGGGCTGGTTATCTAGTGTGATCGCTAAGTCCTTTCCAGTGTCACTACATTCTAGGTTACCATTTCCCTTTTATTTTCTTTGATGTATGGCCTTCCATTTATCTGTGTTACAACTCATGCTGTTTGAAGGAGTGCACCTTACCAAGTGATCTAAGTTGGTCTATGTAACTGACTTGTCCCAATCATTATTTAGCATTTCACCAATTTTTGTGTCAGCTGCAAATTTAAATTGATTTTATATTTTCTTCCACATCACCGATAAAGATATTGAATAATACAGGGCTGAGAATACATCCCTGAGGGACCCTACTAGAAACACCCCCACTGGATGACAATTACCCATTTACAATTACTTTTACATATCTATCAGTTAAACCAGTTTTTAAATCCATTAAAGATAGGCTACATTGATTTTGAATAGTCCTTTTTTTTTCTTATCAAATATCATGTGGGACTAAGACTTCTGTCATGCATTTTACTAAGTATATTAGGACAACAGAGTTACCTTTGTCAACCAAAGACATATTCTCATAAAAAATGATGCCAAGCTTGTTTGAAAAGATCTAATTTTCATAAAACCATTTTTATTTGTATTAATTATGACATCTTCCTTCAATTCTTTACTCATTGCATCCCATAACAGCCTTCCCAGGATCAGTGTCAGACAAATCAGCCAATAGTTATTCAACTTATTTAATAGTCCCTCAAATATAGGCACAACATTAGGCTTCCCCCCACAATCATCTGGAACTTCCCCAGTGTTCCAAGATTTGTTAAAAATTAACATTAATGATTCCAAGAGCTTCTCAGACAATTCTTTGAATACTCTTGTGTGCAAGTTATGTGGTCCCACAGATTCTAAAAAGTTTAATTTTTTAGTTGCTGCTTAACATCCTCTCTAGCTATTGGTGGAATGAAGGTATTTCATTATCTCTGTAAAATATGAATACATCATCCTGCTTCTTTCTACATACAGAACAGAAATATTTAATTAATGGTTCTGCCTTCTCTGCCTCATGATAGACCTGGGTCGGCAACCTTCGGCACGTGGACGGTCAACATAAACAAAATGTCTCGCGGCCTGCCAGTGGATTACACTGATGGGCCAAGTGCCGAAGGTTGCTGGCCCCTGTGATAGACAATTTTGTCATCCTTATCTAGTATTGGACCCATACCATTGTTAGGATTTTGTTTGTTCCTGATATATTTAAATATTTTCTTCTTATTGTCCATAATCTTTCTGGACACAGATTTTTCACTGATACCTTTAGCTTCCCTTATCAATTGTCTGCATTTCCTAATTGCTGACTTATACTCATCATCAACTTCTCCATTCACTATGTGTCATTTCCCAATACAAAATTTCAATAGAAAAAAAAAGCATTTGCATTGAGGTGTATTTTGCTAGACTGGGGCATGTTAGACATGCAATAAACATAATATTTCCTTTTGATCATCTCATATTTTCCAGGGTCATGAAAGAAAGAAATTAATTGTGATGTCCAAGGATTTTTTTAAAAGGTCAGAAAATACAGTATATTCACACACTGATACATTTAGATCCCAATCTGCAAACACATACTTATGAGAGTAATATTACTCGCATGAATAGTCCCAATGAGTTCAGTAGAACTACTCACATGTGTGATTGTTTGCAGGAACAGGCCCTCACTTATCAGAACTAAATGAGCAACAATATGAAAATTATATCTAAGAAACAGTAGTACTATATAAATGAATTATATACTCCATAGTTTATCCCAATATAAACTTCTGAGATTTGGTATAACAGTCATTTTGATATAGTTTACCTTCTCATCTGTCAAGACATTTTAAATGAACCTGAACATTTTTTCTAAATGGGTGAAATCCACCTCTCTGTGTAGGGACAATAAAAGGACTATTTTGTGGCCTTTAGGTATTGCATAGTCTTCATGCTGGCCTCTGCACATGGGATAAATACCACCCGATATGAATTGTTTAGTATCACATAGATATACATTGAAAAAAGTACTAGGAAGGTGGGAGGAATACTTTTTTTTTTAAGTAGATCTTTCAAGAAGTGAGAATGGAGAGAAAAAACCTAATCCAAAGCATGACTTGATTTAGCTGCTTACATAAACATAGCTGTGCACACAAGTGCTCTTTTCTCAATTGTTTGGCAAGTCATGATCTTCTTGTTTGCATTTCTGTCTGACTGAAGGTTATGTTTTCAGAGGACTAAACTGGGCATCTCGGGAACTGAAAACCAATAAGTAAAACATTCCAAGGTCAGTCAAAATGTTGAGGTTAAAAAACATTAACAATATTTTTTAATCATTGCTTTGGCTCAGGTTCACTGTTTCGTACTGCTATGGCATAAAGAAAGAAAAGTTAAATGCAAAATACAAAATGGGAATTAACTGGCTAGCTGCTGGTAGTACTGCTGAAAAGGATCTGGGGGTTATAGTGGATCACAAATTGAAGATGTCAGTAATATGATGCAATTGTAAAAAAGGTTAATATTATTCTGGGGTGTATTAAGAGGGCTGTTGTATGTAAGACACACAAAGGTAATTGTCCCACTCTTCGTGGCACTGGTGAGGCCTCAGCTGGAGTTCTATGTCCAATTTCTGCATGCCACACTTTAGTAAAGATGTGGACAAATTGGAGAGAGTCCAGAGGAGAGCAACAAAAATGATAAAAGGTTTACAAAATTTGACCTATGAGGAAAGATTAAAAAAAACTGGGTATGTTCAGTCTTGGGAAAAGAAGACTGAGAGGGGCGGGAGGACCTGATACCAGTTTTCCAATATGTTAGCGGCTGTTATAATGAGGACTGTGATGAATTGTTCTCCTTGTCCACTGAAGGTAGGACAAGAAGTAATGGGCTTAATCTGCAGCAAGAGAGATTTTGGTTAGATCTAAGGAAAAACTTTCTAACTATAAGGGAAATGAAGCTGTGGAACAGGCTTCCACGGGAG